AAATCTGACACTTGCAGTTTGTTTCCCCCTGCCACTTAAAAGAGAGATAAAAAAAGAAGTCTGACACTTGTAGTCTATTTTGTCCATTTGGAGACTCCTAGCCTTCCTGCCTGTTACCCTCTCAAGAGTGTAAGCTGAGTAGTTGTGGGACACATGCTACAGACAGAAGGTGAGCTCAGTAGTTTCCATGTATGCATGTTTACACTGGGAGCTCAGTAATACTCAGAGGTGCTATATAGAGCAGATGTAATATTGACAGGATACCTGCTTTAGAGAACAACTCAGGAGTACCAGTATGAGAGCCTCAGATGCAAGCTCAGTACTTACAAAATGCCAGCTCTTGAGTGCAAATTGAGTATGCGGAACACATGCTCCAAGATTCAGTTCAGTAGCTGCAGCATGGGTTTTCTGGAGATCAGTCTCAGTAGTCATAAAATCCATATCCTTGAGTGAAAGAACAACACTTGCAGATGCTTACCCTGTACACAGGCTCACAAGTGGCAACACATGTGCTTAGAGTGCTTCAGTAGGATGTGGTAGGTTCTACAGAGTGCAAGGTCAGTAACTTTGTCAGTAGCTTTACACTACTAGTCCATTGGTAGTGGAAAGTGTGTTCCAAGGTGGAAGCTCAGTAGTTGAAAGACCAGTATCCCAGAGCACAGTTTCATTAGTGGAGGAATGTATGCTTCTGAGTTTAAGAATAGTGGTTGTGAATGCATAATCTGGCAAGTGTGCTGATTAGTTAGATCTGTGCTCAGATTTGGTGTGATTTGTGCTGCATTGTGGAGTTCTCTAGTAGCAACACGCAGACTTAAGAACCAGGGATCAGTAGTGGTGAGACACATTCTCCAGGGTGAAACTCTGTACTTATAGCACCCATAGTTTAGAGTGCAGGCTCACTAATTGTGTCACAATAGTTTTAGAGCACAGAATCAATAGTGGCATCAGGTGTCATGTCAAAGGTCATTTAAAACACGCCAAGGGCAAACTCAGTGACCGCAGCACAGCCGGCCAAAACATAGGAATCCTGCTGGCAAGACACATGCTCCAGGAAAGGAAATTACTTGAGTTTATTCAGCTTTAGAGAGTACATGTTCCATAGTTGTGGAACATTTGTCTTGAAATGCAAGTTCAGTAGTGGAAAGATGCATTCTCCAGAAAGGAACTGAGAAGTTTTAGCCCTCCTGCTGTAGAGCAATGGCACAGTAGGGATGGGCGTGTGTTCTAGAATGCTGTCTCAGTTGTGGGCTGGCTGTAATTTCCCATGTACCAGCTAGTATTATTAGACAGTCTTCTCTAAATTGCAAGCATATTAATGGCTGAACACATGCTCCAGATTGTAAACTCAGTAGTTTCAGGCCTCCTACAGTAGAACTCAAATTCAGTAATTTTGGGACACAGACTCCGAAGCACCATTGAACTAGTTGTGGCACATCTGTGGTAGAGTAGTGTCAGTAAAGTAGGGACAGAAGTGGTGGGATGCATGCTGTAGCATGCAAGCTGTAGAGATGTGCACATGTTCTCTAAAGCACAGAATAGAGTTTAAGCATGCCTTCTCTAGATCATGGGGCTGTGGTAGCAGGCATATGTTGTAAGATGTAGGTTCCTTGATCGTGAGGTGCGTGCTCTGGAGTGAAAGTGCTGTAGTTTCAGCATGAATCCTCTAAAAATGGAGCATATTGGCTGACACATTCTGTACAGTGTCATCTTGGTAGCTATGAGGCACTCGCTCAAGAGTGCAGCCTCAGTTGTTGGAGCACATGTCCAACTGAATGCTGGATCACTATGTTGGGATGCAGGCTTCAGAGAGCAAGTTCAGTAGGTGCAGTATGCCTGGTCTAGAGCATGATCTCTGTAGAGGCAAGACAGGTGGTCAAGAGTAGAAGCTTAAGGGTTGTGGCATGCGTGCACTGGATCACAGGATGCAGGATCAGTCGAGGCAGGAAACGTGATAATTTGTACCAGACATGAAGTTGTGGCATATCAGCTAGAGACCCCAGGTACACTATTTGCAGCTTGCATGATCTAGAGTATAGAGCACTGGTTGACTAGCAGCCTAATGGGTGCTCTAGAGTGCCACATAATTAGTTGTAGCACACATCCTCTAGAGCATTGGAACACTTAAAGTGAGATTCCTACTTCAGTTTCCAAGCACAGTGGTGGCCCCACACTTGATCTAAAGTAACGGCTTACTTGTGGGCAGAGTATATGCCAGGGTACACATGAGTGTACCATTGTGCAAAGTCAGTAGTTGCAGCATGGGTATTTTGGGGCATGGGCTTAGGAGTAGAAGAACACATGTTTCATAGTGCAAGGTCAGTAATTGCAATGCAAGTGTTGTAGAACATAGGGTCACTAACTCTCGTATACCTGCCTAAATATGAGGGCTCAGAAGTGGCAAGAAGTATGCTGAATGCGAAGATTCAAATTGTGGGATGCATGACCCAGAGTGTGATTCCATAGTTTAATTGTGGCAAGAGGTATTCAGAGTGCAAGTTCATCAGTTGCTTTGGTACACCTGATCTAGACTGCAGAATGAGAAGGGGCTGGAATTACATGTAAGACAACAAACTAATACTTGGAGCATGCCTACTTACAGTGAAAGGTCAGGAAGTGAGGCACACTTTATCTAAAATGTACTTTCAATATTGCAGGGATGCAGGATCCAGAGTATAGTATTGGTAGTTGCAGTAGGCAAGTTTTATGATGCAGGTTTAGTAGTGGCAGGTCATATACTCAACAACACGAGTTCAATAGTAGTAGACTATATACTACATTGTCTTTGCAACACATGGCTCTAAAGCACAGGCACAATAGTGGCAACAAGGTGCTCCAGAATCTAAGCTCAGTGTTGTGGTACTCCTGCTGTGGATGGTGGCCTCAATAGTGAGGAGATGCATATTTCAGAGTGCAATCTCAGTATTTGTGGCACGCGTAGTTTGAAATGAGGGCTTAGGAGTGGTGAAAGCATGTTGGATAGTGCATGCGCTGTGGTAGTGGCACGCCAGTTCCAAAGCATAGGCAACATTGTGATATACATGCTTATGTGTGTGGGCTGACCAGAGGTGTAATGTTTGCTCTAGAGTGCAAGCTAATTACCTGTGTGTGGTACACGTGCTCTAATATCATGTTCATTAGAAACAGGACATATGTTCCAGGTTCAAGTTCAGTCATTGCCATAGTCATAATTTAGATTGTGGTCTTTGTAGTTATAGCTCAGGGGACCATTGATCAGAAGTCGTGTGCATATGATAAAAAAAAAAAAAATCTGAGTTCATTAGTATTGAGGCACACATTTTGTAGGGCAAGCTCAGCAGTTTTGTCATGTCAGCTCAAAAGTTCAGGTTTCCTAACAGGATTTGTGCTTTGGAATACAAGCCCAATGGACAGTGGAGGAATGCACCAGTCGACATGCTATGTGGTTGTAGCTGATGCTAAATGTCATAGGCCTAGTAGTTGTAAAATATAAGCTCCACAGTGCAAGCTCAGTAACTGGGACTTGCCTGCTCTGGAACACAGGCTCTGGATTGACTGGACGCATGTACTTCAGAATGTGTTCATTAGTTGTGGATAATGGGCTCCAGGGTGCCAGCTCACTAGTTGCAGCAAGAGTGAAGTAAAGTGTGGTACAGTAGCAGCAAGAAACATAGTTCACAGAAACTATTTGAAAGAGCCTTGATAGGGTAAACGGGCCAAAGTGCATGTATCTGGCACTGATGGGTTGTTGAACACAGTGTGGTGGTGCACTTAGCCTCTCACTGGCATGCATTCCAGCAACATTCAGGGAGTTTCTTCTCCCCAGCACACTGTGACCTGTTTTTCCATCTGTGCAAGGTGTGGCTGTGCCACCAATGTTCTGTGCAGCGTTCATGTCTCCCCAGCGAATGAGGGAGGGTCGCCCATCCCCTTCTGCGGTTCAGCACTGACACCCACCGTGGGCTTTCCAATTGGAGAAAGCATACTCTGTCCCTGTGGCCCAGAATAGCTGGATCTCCATGGGTGTGACTCACTGAGGAGGAGAAGGGCTTGCCTTCACTCCAACGTTCAGTGTCTCTTCTGAGCGCTGGTGTCTGGGGAATGGCAGGGGGCCAGAGCACCACATAGAGAGTCGGAGACATAGAGACAGCAGCCCCTGGTGCACACACAGCAGGATCACCAGAAATAGTGCTATGCGAGAAGCAGAGACAAAGAGACAAAGAGAGAGGTCTGTGCTGTATGGCACTGATGCCCCTGAACAGTGGGGGACAGTTAGTACAAATGTTGGTGTTTTTACCCACTCCCCTACCATCCAGACAGAAACAGGCTCCTTTCCAGGGAGAAAAGATCCAGCCACTTTGCGGCCCTGCCTATCCTTTAGATACTCAGGGAGAGCTCCCAGGGATGGACGGTCCCATGGGACACAGGAGTGTGCTGTTTGGATTGTGGAGCGAGAACACATGGCTTGAATTTTCAGAGGCCAATTCAATACCAGCGCCTAGGGGAGCGCCACATGCAATAGCTGTGCCCTCCCTGAAGCCGAGTGGCACCACGTGGGGGTGTTGGAGCCCCATGAGCGGGAGAGCCGCCCTCTGGTCTAGGGTCGTGTACTTCAGGGTGCCACCCACTACCCTCACTGCCATTGGTCTATATTTGGCCCAGCAGCCTGAGTGGGATCTCACACCCTTGGGGTCCCACGTGTTGGACTGATCTCCATGGACCGTCTCCTGCCTTCTATGGAACCCCTTTCTTTAACTTTGGCCCACCCACACACACCAGGCCTCGCCTCCCGACCATTCTGCTCTCACCCCGCCCACAGAGCTAGCGAGCCCCACCCGGTTTCCTCAGCCGGGCCATCATTTTGCTCCACTTTCTGTGCTTTTATATCAGGCCTCTTTGCATCTCCCCCTGCTCAGGGTTACAGCCAAGTCCTAGAGGAGCATAGGCGATCAGAGAAAGATAAGAGCGTCCCGGGACTGTGGACCTTCTTTGCTTGGAGCCCGGGTACTCATGGGGCAGTGGCCATGGGGCCTGCCATCGTGCTGCTGTGTGTGACTGGGACCTTGCAGCCAGCAGTTTGCATGCTAGGCGAAGATGTCACCCTCTACGTGGTGGAGGGAGTGGAGGACAGTGTGGCCCTGGTGGACGGAGACGAGGTGGGGATCGTGCAGGATTGCCAGCTGCTGGCAGAAGACGTCATGGAGAAGGTGGAGGTTGTGGTGGATGAGGAGCGGGAACAGGGGTCCTCCCAGGAAGTTGAGGATAAGACGGTTGGAGGAGCAGGGACTGAAGAGACCCAGAGGTGCAAGTGAGCGTCTGACTCTAGATCCTCTGCAGGCACTGGATTCCTTGCAGTTGGAACTGAGCTCTGAGCATGAGAAAAACCTCTGGGGCTACACTTTCGTTTCATGAAAGTATAATCAGAGGAGGAAGTGTCACTTGGCTTGGAGAAGCGCCATCCTCCAGGGCATCCCTGGCTTCTGGGCCAAAGCTGTATCCTTCTTGCTGCTCCTAGGTGTCTGCCTCTCAGGAGGAGGAGGTGGGGCAGAAGCAGAAGCAGGAGGATGTGTGGGAGTGAGGGCACAGGAAGGGCACCACAGGCTGCTGAGGGAAGTGTGGTCCTGGGCAGTGGCAGGTTCCAAATGCACAGCAGAGTAGAATCTGGGTAGAGTCACACCTGTACGTGTCACAGCCATGACTCTGGGTTTCTCCTTCAAGCCTGAATCTGAGGAGGATCAGTACCCAAGGCCTCTAGGTCAGGATGACCAGATAATGTACACTAGAGCAGCAACTGCAGACATTTATTGTAAATGTGGATGATTCCCGGCAATAGCTGAGACATGGGAGTCACAGAGACACACAGATACACACACCACCACCACCACCACCCCTTATTTTCAGACATGGTTTTTCACAAGTACTGCCGGTCCTTACCATATAAGCAGTGATATTGGGAGAGTCATTTCCTAGGCAGGTTGATAAGACTTCTAGTTGTCCCCAAGGAGTGAGGGGTCTCAGATTCTCAAGAAGGAAGGATGTACATACCTTTTTGTCCCTCTACATTCCTTTTGGTTATATAACTGTAATTTGTCCAGCTTGATGACATTCTTTGGAATAAACCTACTGGCTAATCCTACTAACTTAAAGTGTAAAGTATGGGAGTAGTTCTAGTGAGGTCTTTACAAGCTCTAGACATTCTTTTGATTCAGTGTTATGACTAGCTTGAGAGTATACAACTTGATGGCTAACACTAGCTATGGTGTACTCTTTTTACCCACTTCAGATACCTATGTTGGAAACTTTCTCTATCTCATTTATATTTTATTTATTTATATATTTTTTATTTTATTTTTTTTCTCATGGACACCACTCTTTTTATTAAAGACCAATAAAGTTCTTTCCTAGTGGCCATCCTTTATCATCCCCATTTCCTCCTACATTCAACCTTTCCCAGCATCAGGGTCTTTCTCAATGAGTCAGGTCTTTGCATCAGGTGGCCAAAGTACTGAAGTTTCAGCATCAGTGCTTCCAATGAATATTCATGACTGATTTCCTTGAGGATTGACTGGTGGGATCTCCTTGCAGTCCCAGGGACTCTCAAGAGTCTTTTCCAACACACAGTTCAAAAGCATCATTCTTTGGTGTTCAACGTTATAATTCAACTCTCACATCCATACATGACTACTTGAAAAACCATACCTCTGACTAGATGGACCTTTCTAGGTGAAGTAATGTCTCTGCTTTTAAACATGCTGTCTAGGTTTGTCATAGTTTTTCTTCCAAGGAGCAGGATGAGATGTTTGGATGGAATCACGACTCGATGGATATGAACCAGAGCAAGCTCCGGGAGTTGGTGATGGACAGAAAAGCCTGACATGCTGAAGCCCACTGGGTTGCCAAAAGTCGGACACGACTCAGTAACCAAACGACAACATTAATCACTTGCAACAAGTATTACTGAAGATTTGAAGTCTCTTAGCAACAAGATCACTACACACACACACACACACACACACACACACACACACACATTTATATTATGTATGTGTGTTTAGGTAAAATGAGTAGTATTCTCTCTCATACACACACATGACAACTTATGAAACCATTCATCTGTTGATGGGCATGTGGGTTTTTTTTCCAGGACTAGATTACTATAAATAGTCTGAGCTCACTCTTATTCAATAATATAGCATTTACACAACATTTTAACTTATCAACAGTTAAACTGAAAGTTCCTTGAAAGCAGAGTATAGGTTTTGTTTTGTTTTGTTTAAATTTCCTGTCGCATCCCATGTCTCTGGAGTAGGGCAGGTACTCAATAAATGTTTATCAATTGGATGAATGATCCTATAGTCACATCAGTACAGGGCCATGCCTATTATAAAATTCAAGCTGTGTATCTGTTTCCATACATGATGACAATTTTATTCTGAATCCTGATCAGTGAAATTAAGTGGCTAAAGAAGTTTTCTCATTTAAAATAGACGTTAGAGGAAGCCTATAGAGATGGCACAGTAAGATACTCTGTAAAACACTCTGTTATCTCTAAGATAACAGTAATACACTATGTAATGGTTACAGGGTGTCAGCTGCACATTGTGAATGAATGTGTTTTACAAGCTATGGGATTTCTTCAAAAATACTATATTTATCATTTCCCACATCATCAGCTCACAGCCTACACCTCAAGGTAAAATTTTCTATGTCAGTTCATTTCAGTTCAGTCACTCAGTCGTGTCTGACTCTTTGTGACCCCATGAATCACAGCATGCCAGGCCTCCCTCTGTCGTTCCCTTCTCCTCCTGCCCCCAATCCCTCCCAGCATCAGGGTCTCTCCAATGAGTCAACTCTTCACATAAGGTGGTCAAAGTATGGGAGTTTCAGCTTCAACATCACTCCTTCCAATGAACACCCAGGACTGATCTCCTTTCGGATGGACTGGTTGAATCTCCTTATAGTCCAAGGGACTCTCAAGAATCTTCTCAAACACTACAATTCAAAAGCATCAATTCTTTAGTGCTCAGCTTTCTTCACAGCCCAGCTCTCACGTCTATACATGACCACTAGAAAAACCATAGCCTTGACTAGACTGATTTTTGTTGGCACAGTCATGTCTCTGCTTTTTAATATGTTATCTAGGTTGGTCATAACTTTCCTTGCAAGGACTATGTGTCTTTTAATTTCATGGCTGCAATCACAATCTTCAGTAATTTCAGAGCCCCCTAAAATATAGTCTGACACTTTTTCCACTGTTTCTCCATCTATTTCTCATGAAGTGATGGAACCAGATGCCATAATCTTAGTTTTCTGAATGTTGAGTTTTAAGCCAATTTTTTTTCACTCTCCTCTTTCACTTTCATCAAGAGGTTTTTGAGTTCCTCTTCAGTTTCTGCCATAAGGGTGATGTCATCTGCATATCTGAGATTATTAATATTTCTCCCAGCAATCGTGATTCCAGCTTGTGCTTCATCTAGCACAGCATTTTTCATGATGTACACTGCATATAAGTTAAATAACCAGGGTTACAATATACAGCTTTGACACACTCCTTTTCCTATTTGGAACTAGTCTGTTGTTCTATGTCCAGTTCTAACTGTTGGTTTCTGACCTGCATATAGGTTTCTCAAGAGACAGGTCATATAGATATGACTAAAATCACCAAAGCCTCATTCTGGTCTCTCAAAAAATATAGTCTTTTACACTAAATTCCATTCTGCTCAATAAAGCAAATCATATGCTCTTATTCAAGTTATTTGCCATTAATATAGTCTCTGATTCCTTATATTCAGTTTTTGTATTAAAAATATAAAAATCTCCCCACCCTCCTTCTAATTGTTAGCTCAGACGGTAAAGTGTCTGTCTGCAATGCAGGAGACCTGGGTTTAATCCCTGGGTGAGGAAAATCCCTGGGAAAAGAAATAACAACCCACTCCAGCATTCTTGCCTGCAAAATCCCATGATCAGAGGATCTGAATAGATTACAGTCCATGGGGTCACAAAGAATCGGACAAGACTAAGTGACTTCACTTTTATTTTCTTTCACTTTTCCTTTTCACTAGTGACCACTTCTCCTATTAATCTACCTCCACCCACACCTAAACCTCTTATTTGGAAAACTGATCAACCTCTGTAGATAGAACAATGGCCTCCAAAACAAGAAAAATTGAAGGCTTTACAGAAATTAATTAATGAACAGCTTAGCAAGGAATATATTATTGAGTCCTTTATCCCTTGGAATTCTTCACTATTTGTTATATGAAAGAAAGCTGGTAAACAAAAATGCTTACTGATTTGAGAGCTATTAATGCTATTAATGTTCCAGTGGGTGCTTTACAACCTGATCTACCTAATCCTAGTATGATTCAAAGAAATTGACATTTGCTTGTTATTGATCCCAAAGATTATTTTTTTTTTTTACTATTTCTTTATACCCTTATGATCAATCTATATTTGCCTTTTCAATTCTTTCCATTAACTTAAAGGAGCCACATAAAATATTTCAATGGATGGTGTTACCTCAAGGTATGCTTAACAGTCCCACTATTTGTCAAAATTTTGTAGCCAAATCTTTACACCCAGTATGACATCAATTCCCTCATGCATATATCATTAATAATATAGTATGACTACAAAAAGGAGAAATGACATTTTTCACAGTGAATGGCCATGATATTCTTTAGACGCTGGATAAAACTGATTAAAATAAAATCTTTTTTGAAATTGCAAAACCATTTCTTCTTACACGTGCAGTTAGGAAAAAGTTGACTTGTTAAAATACTTTTTTTTGGAACTCCAATTCTTCCTGGGTAACAAAAACAGGCCTAGGAAGAAAACCTAAATTTAACTCTTATCATGTGCTTGGGATACATGGTCCACTCTATTTGGGACTCCAGCCATACACAATCTGGTAGAACTCAAACAAGAAAAAAAAAAGGGGGGGAGAGATAATTTCAAATGGAAAACTATGCCTGTTTGTCTATCTAAATTTATCTTTATCTCCGTGTGTCTTTGTGTTTTGGATATTATGAAGTTAATTTATAAATGAGGTCTATGTAAATTCAGGTTCACGTGAACTGAAAAATATTCAATATTAAATAAAATGTTTGCTTGCTAATCTAATTAAGTCATGTCTTAAGTCATCAACATTGTGTTATACTTTTATTGTGCCTAGGTTTAAGGTAAACTAAATTTGTCAACAAAAAGTAACTTTATAAATGAAATATAAATAAGATGAATAAATAAATACATATATTTATAAATATATAAATAAGATGAAAACTTAGATAAACTCTATTAAAAATATATTTTA